CTTAGGGCGTTCCTGGCTTGTCTGACGCCGTCGGAAGCCGTCTTGAGGGCCTGTCTGGGTCGTCTTGGGGCCCTCTTGGGGCATATCAGGGGTTCTTAGAGTCCATCTTGGGCGTCTTGGAGGCCTCTTGGGCTGTTGTGGGGCCCTCTTGGGGCTGTCTTGGGGGGCTTTTGGGCCGTCAATGGGCAATCTTCGAGGCCTCTGGGGCGATCTTGGGGGCCTCTTGCGCCGTCTTGAGCCGTCGGAATCCCGAGAAGAAACAAATGCCAAAATCTGTTGGCCATCCTGGACGACCTCCTGGACGCCTTCTGGGCCGTCTTGGAGGCCTCTTGGGGGCCTCTTGGGCCGTCTTGGGCCATCTTGAGGCCATCTTAGGCAGTCTTGGTTGCATCTTGGGCCGTCTGGGAGGCATCTTGGGGCTATCTTAGCCGTCTTGGATGCCAGTTTGGCAGTCTTGGAGGCCTCTTGGGCCCTCTTGGGGCTGTCTTGGGGGCCTCTTGGGCCGTCATGGGGCCATCTTGGAGGCCTCGTGGGCGATGTTTGGGGCCTCTTGAGCCGTCTTGGGCCGTCGGAATGCCGACCAACGGCACATGCCAAAACCCTTCAACAATCTAAGGAAAATCATTGATTTGGGCATCTTGCTTCCTCCTCCTGCTCCTCCTCCTGCTTCCTCCTCCTCCTGCTCCTCCTCCTGCTCCTCCTCCTCCTCCTGCTCCTCCTCCTCTCCTCCTCCTCCTCCTCCTTCCTCTCCTCCTCCTCCTCTCCTCCTCCTCCTCCTCCTCCTCCTCTCCTCCTCCTCCTCCTCCTCCCCTCCTCCTCCTCCTCTCCTCCTCCTGCTCCTCCTCCTCCGCCTCCTCCTCCTCCCTCCTCCTCCTCCTCCTCCTCCTGCTCCCCCCCCCCTCCAACTTCTGGTGGTGGTGGTGGAAAACAGGCCCATCGCATGGGCCGCCCGCCCCGCCCCCCCCGGATGGGGTCGGAGCATCGCGCCGCATCGCCGATGCATCGGCGATGCATCGGCGATGCGGCTCGATGTGGGGCCCGAGTTTCTCCACGCCGACGTCGCGGATGCATCGCCGACGTCGCCAGGGCATGGCCGATGAATCGGCGATGCATCGCCGATGTGTCGGCAGTGCGGCGAGATCCTCCGACCCCATCTACTCGGACCCTATCTAGGAGGCCTCTAGGCCAGGGGGGTCGGAGCGACAGGTGCTTGCGCAAGGGATTTCATTTCGTCACCTACACTCAGGCGATCGCAAACATGGATCGAGGGGGCGTGGATTAGTGACGGGTCCCATCTCCATGGGAAATCGCAGATTTCCGCCGCCGAGCGAGGCGGCACCGGCCGCATTTTGGGGGGGGGCATCTCCCCGGATCCATGGACTAGGCGACCGCGCGCCAAATCCATGGATCGCTAATCCGTTTTCGCGCGCCCCCCATGCACATCGCTCTCGTTGTGTGCCGCCGCTTCGGCTCCGCTTTTGCGTGGCTCGAGGGGGGTTGCAGCCCCCCTGGCGGTCGAGAAGGGGCCCAGCCTTGAGAGCGGTGGCCCCGTGCACCGCCGCGCGGGGGCCGAGGCTGAGGGTCACTGCACATGGCCCTCTACAGGAGGAATGTTCAAACATAGTATTAAAACATAGTTCGGGACGATTCTTTGGTCGAAAATAAAAGCTTCGATTGTTTATGAGAATGGTTTGGCTATATTCCGCTTTGCCTCCAAAATTCCGCCTGTGGGAGGACGTGCCCGACCTAAAGCAAGGTCGCAGAAGAGCCCCCGAACCGCTCCTCCCTCCTGTTTCACATTTCTTCGGCGGCACGCTTCGAGAAGCAGCCGCAGAGGCGTCAGGCTTGCGTCGCGCTACCGCGGCGGGAAGGATACTTACGTTTTTGGCCGTCATTTCACCGTGCCATCTCAGGCGTGACAACACATGGTGGGGGCTGTGGTGCTTCATTTTCAAAGAAAACGGTACGCGCCGATCGTTTAAAACAGGTGTTTGGGGATCCCTCTGATCTCACAATCGATTTCAAGCGCCTTCTTGAAGAGTGGATCTGCGTGTGCTGTGTTTTGTTGTTCTCTAGGAGGGCCTGAACCCGATCCGCTTGGTCCGCGTTCCTAGTTACTTCGTGTGTCTACCCGCTTTTTCCGACCGACGTTTACGGCCCCCGAACCGCTGATTCGACCGGCTGAGAGCTCCCCAGCTCGGCTGAAGTAGGACCTGGGGCTTCGACGGCCACCGCTCCGCGCACCGCCACTCGGGGGCAGGGACCGTGGACTCTACTGCATCGCAAGTTCGGGGCAGCCCCCGACCCGCTGACTCCGACGACACGTGAGAGTGACCCTTCGCCAGAGTGACCCTTCAGTGCGGGCCCCCCGGGGCCCCCAGCTGAATCCGCTGCGACGGCAGTGGCGTGTGCGCTCGGGCTCGGCCTCCCCGCGGCCCCCCGAAAGCCGCGCACCAAAGGTCGCTCTTGCTTGGGGTCACTCTTACGTGCAGGCGATGACTCGACGGGATCAGCTCTTCACGCGCATAGCCGTGCTGAGATTTCGAAGGCGTTTTCCGAGCACAGCCGTCAAGGGTCACGGCCTACGGACCGCTGCGTGAATCGCACGTTCGCGGTGGCGCCTGAGCCGCTGATTGCACAGGATCAGCGCCCCAGCAAGATTTTGCGTCTCCTTCTCCTTGTCTGTTCTCTGACGGCCGCGCGCGCAGCCAGAGACTCCTCCACACTCCTGCTTACTCCTACTCTACCTCCTGCCTCGGCTGCGGGTGCCTCCGTCTGGTTGTCGTCCGTCGTGGTCGTCGTCGCGTCGCCATCGTCGGGCTCGCCCCGTGACTGGTAGGGCGGAGGCGGGTCGCCTTTTGGAGCGCAGGGCAGCATGTTGCATCAGCAAGCGGGCGTCACCAGAGGCAGCGCCGTGCCGCACGGCAGGGCTGACGGCAGACGGGCGACCCTCACCCGTGCACGCGAGCAAGGTTTCGCGGCCGCCAGGAGGATTCCTAGCTGGAGCCCGCGCTGACTCTGTGACATGTAGAGTTGGGGAGGCAGGATCTCAGGGCTCATTTCCATTCCCCCGATTCGATTCGACTCGATCTCGACGGATGCCGATTCCGATTCGATTCCACTCGAGACTTCGATTTGGGTTCCGGTTTCCCACTGGACGCATACAAGCCTGTCGATTTCCGCCGATCCGATTTTTTCCGGCTCGGCTGTCGATTTCCGCCGATCCGATGCATGTCGATCGCCGATCTGACTTACCGATTCGATTCTGGGGTCTCCTGGGATCTGTCCGTGCCGCTCCAGGGCAGGACCGCCTCCCGCCCAGACAAAGTACGCGACGTCGTGACAAAGTACTCTACGTAAGTACGCTTCAGCACCTGAACAGGGTGCCGCACCATTTCCTTGACACGGTGGCTTGGCACAAAGCCCACTGCAAACGTCCCGAAGCCGGTGCGGCGCAGCGACCTTGGCGGTACCAGGTCAAGGTGCCGCAAAATCTCGTTGACAGGATAGATGGACAGGACGCCACTTGCAGATGTCACGGAGTCGGGGCGGAACCACATCTTGACGAGACGCGGTCCCCTCCCGACACGGAGCCAGACCTGGGTCGAGATTGTTAGCGACAAGGTGCACGCCATTTTCGTGATTCGTTGGAGAGGAACAGCGCCCAAAGCACAATAGGTTGCGCCATGGAATGGGCAAAAAGCTACACCATGGAGTTGCGCCATAGGTTCAGGTTGCGCCACGGGCTGCGCCGCCGTCTGCGCCAAGCACAGGATGCGCCCTAGCCCTAGACTCCGCCATGGATTGCGCCGCAGGCTGCAGCATAAGCTGGGCCCTCGGTTGCGCCATTAATGTCGGCCTGGGTTGTGGCATCCATGGGTTGCGCTACAGTCGGGGCTCTGAATAAGGAACCCTTCTCGTTGGGGAGGGGCTCCGTGTTCCTTCATTGTTTCGCATTTTGCCCGAGGTTATCCTTGGATTTCCGGTGGGAAGTCGAGGTTGACTTTCTGGAGAAATGGGGCCTCGTTCCTTATTTAGGGTTCCTAAGGTCAACGCCCCGACGGTATGGCATGCGCCATGGGCTGCGCCATGGCGCAGAAGGAGGAGGATGCGGAGGCGGAGAAGGAGGAGGAGGAGGAGAAGGAAGGCTGTGCTGAGCTGTGTGAGAAGAGGAGGAGGAGGAGGAGCAGGAGGAGGAGGAGCGCCATGGGCTGCGCCATGGAGTTGTTCACCCTCGGCCGCCGAGCACGGCGCGGCCGACGGGGGCGAGACCGGCGGGCTCGGCTCGGCAGGCAGCCACCAAGCCAGCGGCAAGCCGCTCAGCTTGCGAAAGAACTTCGGGCTGCGCACGAGATGATCGATTCGATTCGATTTCGATTGCTTTCGATTCCGATTCGATTCGACTTCGGATGCCAGTTTGGGATCAGATTTGTCGATGGAGGCCCATTAGCCTGCCGATGTCTGCCGATTCGACTTTTCCCGACTCGGTTGCCGATTTCCGTCGATTCGTTTCATGTCGATCGCCGATCCGCCTTGTCGATTCGATTCTGGGCTCTCCTGCCTGGCGTGTTGACCCCGTCTCGGGCCCTGGGACCCTCATGCATCTGGGTCGCCCTCGCCCTCCTTCTCGTCTGCCCCCCCTGTCTGTGTCACCCGTCTGCCTCTCCTCCTCGTCGTCCTCCGCCTCAACCACTAGATCTCCCTTACCAATCTCTCCTCCTTGTCGCACTCCCAGGCGTGTCGGTAGTGCAGGCGGGGCGTTTTTGGGGAGACTTCATAGTTTGTATAACAATGAAGTTTGAAATGTGCAAGAGTCTCAAGGATGGAAAGCGGTCGTTTTCAAAATGGAGGTATCGTTTTATGGCCTCGACCATTCGTTTTCAGAATTTGCAAAATGGAGCTCTGGCCTTTGCTCCGCGCACATTCGTGGTACACGATCTGCTTCTTCTCCTCCTCCTCCTCCTCCTCCGCCTCATCCTCCTCTGCCCTCCCTCGGAGAGGACGGCGCCGCCGCGCCCGAGGGCGGCGACAATAGGAAGAGCGGCCAGGGAGTTGTCGCGACCGGGGACGTGAGCAAAGACCAGGTCTGGCGGCGCACGCAAGGGTCGATACGACCGTAGTGGGTACGGAAATAGTGGGTACAAAGACCGACTCGAGGCAGAAATATGGGCAGAAGACTTGGATCGGCGCTGGAGTCCCCCTGGCGGCGCCTCTGGCGCCGTCCCTGGCGCGCTTCGTGCGCCAGGGACGGGGTCCAGCGCAGATCCGAGAAATCCGCGCGGACCGTCGATAGTTTATGCTTGTGCAGTGTTCTTCCTGGAAAGACTGGGCGCCATGACAGCGTTTCCTGCTCATTTTGAGCAGGGCCCGCTGTCGGTGCTGCCAGGGGCGTCGCAGAGTTGAGACACAACCGCCGCCTGCCCAAAAGCGGCCGCTACCGGTTTTGGACAGCATTTGCTGCTGGGCATCGTGCCCATGTTTTCCGTACCCGTTTCGGGCGTCCAAAGTCGGCGCGATCGGGCGACGCGAAGTCCGCTTTGAGCAAGTCTCGTTGGAGCCAAAGGGTTGTATCTGGTGGGCTTCCAGCTGGACGTGGCCTCCCCTCGGCCAGGGGTGGACCTTGGTGGGCCCTGGAAACGACAGGGCCGTTTTTTTACCGGTTCCGTTTTGCTGTTTTTACCGGTTCCGACGCCGTTTTTTTACCGGTTCCGTCGCCACTTTTTTATCCGGTTCCAGCTCCGGTTCCAATCCTGGAGCCGTTTTTTGGCCGTTTCCGGTCGCCGTTTTTTTGCCGTTTCCATGTTCGAGGGGCATTCTTGTCGGAAGCGGTGAAAAACGGCCCTGCCGTTTCCGGGGCCCGCAAAAGGGCGGACCCGATGGGAGCAAGTCCGACTGGAGCCGGGGTGCTCCACCTCCTGGGCTTCCAGTTGGGCTTGGCCTCTCCCGAGGCGAGGAGGTGGGCGGCCCTTGTGAGCAGGCCCGCGGGGCTTCTGCGGAGCCTTCTGCCTGCCTGCCAGGGTAGGAGGGGGAGGAGGAGGAGGAGGAGGAGGACGAGGAGGAGGAGGAGGAGGAGGAGGAGGGGGAGGAGGAGGAGGAGGACGAGGAGGAGGAGGAGGAGGAGGAGGAGGAGGAGGAGGAGGAAACCTCCTGGAAGCCTCCGATCCTTGCTGAGAGCCACCTCTCCCAGTCTCTTTGAGGCCGCCCCCCCCCCTCCCAGCGCGCCGCCGGCAGGTGATCCGGATCCTGGGCGATATGGTCGCGTCTCAGGACCGCATGAAGGTCCCGGCGAGCTCGGCTCAGAATCGTGGGGTCATGGTGCGGTAGCAAGTCATGGAAGTTTTGCGTGTACCCTCGTAATCCTGTCTTTGGCGTCGACTGGCGTCGGTTAGCGTCTGGATTTCGGTGAGGTAGCGCCGATCTCGTCTCGATGAGCGTCGATTTCGCCTCGACTAGCGTCGATTTAGCGCCGACTAGCGAGAGCCGACAAGTTGGTATGGGAGGCTCCCATGAGTTGCCACCGAAGGGTCAAGGGATGACGCCGGTTTGTTTGTCCTTGGCGTTTTTGGGCGCTTCAAGTTCTGGCCCAGTCTGGTGCCCCTCTGGAAACCTCCAGCGACCCGCCGCCGAAGCAGCGGACGGGACGCATCCTCCCACCTCCCGACGTTGTGGCTTTTTCGTGGCGTCGGGCCCTGGGCTCTCGGCCCCGTTCCCCTGGACCAGTTTTGCTCCCGGGCTGTTTTGTTGACAGTCCCCACAAGCCCAAACATTGGGTAATTTGGTCCGTTTCGATCTGCTCGCGATGAGTGGTGCCTGGGCTTCCCGCTGGAGGTCCTCATGAAGGACCTCAAGGCGAAGATGCTGGCGAAGGACATGGACTTCGCGGAGACTTACGAGCACGTCCGCTCCGTGCAGCCGGACGACCCCCTGGAGCGCCACGGCCTGTCCATGTCGGACTTCGACGAGCTGGTGTCCAAGCACCAGAACGACCCGCAGGTTGGCGCACGCCTGCTCGCAACGCCGCCGTCGTGCCCGTGTGCCCGTCCGCACGCTGCTCTGCCGACCTTGGGGCGCCCCGCGGCTCACGGGCTCCAGCAGTCCGCAGAGAGCTTAGCATCGCTCGGACGTGTGCATTTTGCCCTCGGCGAGGACCATCGAGGAGCATCCTTGATCAGTTGGCGAAAAAACCACGCACGAAACAAACAAGAAAAAAACAACAGGGAATGGGCGTCCGAGCGATGCCAGCAGAGGGCTCTCCCCGCCGCTCTCCGCGCGTCGGGGGGCCGCCGCCGGGCCCCCCCAGAGGGCGTCGGAAGAGTGCCCCGGGGAGGGGCCGCGGGCCCCGGAGGGGCCTGCCTCGCAGGCGCCGTGTCCGGGCGGGCGGGCGGCGGGGGTGACCTGCACCTCGGGTGCTGCCAGGAGCGCCCCTGGCCCAATCCCAGACCCCCTCGGGTCATGAAAAAATCACGACGGGAGGTTTTTCGCTATTTTCGGCCTCTGGGGGCTCTCACCGGGCCTCGGGACCGTCAAAAAACGACTCAGGATGAAAAACCGGTCCCAGGGAGTGGGTCCAGAGTTCTGGGGGTCGCGTCATGAAAAAATCATGACGTCGGGGGTCTGGGATTGGTGCTCCCAGGGTTCCCGGGGGTGGCCCCGGCGGCCTCCAGAGCACCCCCCTGGAGGCCCAGAGGGCCCCCGGGGCTCCAGAATGGAGCGAAGAGCTGGGGGCACCTCGGGCCAGGGGCACCTCTGGCAAGACCCGAGAAAGGGGGGGGGGGGGAAGAAGGGGGCCCTAAGGGGGCACTCTTAGGGCCCCCGTTGGGTCCCTGCTGGCTCCCAAAGGGGCCCTCGAGGCTCCCCTTTTCAGGCCCCTTCTGGCACCGAGATGGTGTGTGTGTGTGGGTGTGTGTGTGTGTGGGTGTTTGGGTGTTTGGGTGTTTGGGTGTTTGGGTGTGGGTGTGGGTGTGGGTGTGGGTGTGGGTGTGGGTGTGGGTGTGGGTGTGGGTGTGGGGTGTGGGTGTGGGTGTGGGTGTGGGGTGTGGGTGTGGGTGTGGGTGTGTGTTGTGTGTTGTGTGTGTTGTGTGTGTGTTGTGTGTGTTTGTTTGTTGTGTGTGTGTTGTGTGTGTGTGTTGTGTGTGTTGTGTTTGTTGTACTGGTGTGTGTGTGTGTGTGTTCGTCCCCGTTCACAGGCCCGAACGCGAGTGCTGGCCTGGAAGATTTTGCCTCGCAGTTGCAGCGTCCGGCGGCGAGCCCGTGGGGGGAAGTGAGAAGGGGCGGGCCTCTCAGGAGGTTCGGGAGCCTCCAGGCCGTCAAAGAAGTTTTCTGAGACTTCCACGACGACACAGAAAAACGTCTCGGAAGGCGCGGGGGCTGCTGAGAAGTCCCGCCGCCTTCTGAGAGGGCCTTCTCCTTCTCATGTCTACCCCCCGCTAGCCGCCGAAATGTGTTTTCATTTCTGTCAACAGGCCCGAACGCGATGGTGGTCTACAGCTTTGCACGATTGCAGCCGAGGGCCCCGTCGCCGTCTCTCCTGCAGGATTGCGCCAAGTCTCGCCGTGTCCATCGGAGACCGTTGGTCTTTCTCCCCTGGCGATACTGGGCGTGACTCGGGGGTGAGGGGGGGGAAGAGGGCTGGTCACGTCACGATTCGCGCCGGCGCCGTGTGGGAATGCTTGGGGTCGGCGCCACCCAAGTATACTGATACCTGATACTATGTGCGCGTCGCCCCCAAAGGAGCGACGCGCGCGACGAGACATCTTATAGTGCATGCTCCGTGACGGGCGCCTCCTGGCCGTGCCGCTCGGGAAACAATCTGCTACAACATAGTGGCATTAGATGTTCGGGTCGGGCGCACGCCCCCGAGGAGGGCACATCGTACTCGTATGTCCTCGTGCGTCCAGAGGGGGTGGAATGGGGCGGGTCCCGTCACGATTCGCGCGAGCACCGTCTGGGGACGCCTGGGGATGGCGGCGGCGACGAGGAGGGCGAATGGCCCAGGGGGAGAGAGCCACACGCGTACCCGGGGGGCGCCGATGGCCCGTGCCTTCGGCGAGGCTCCTGGGCGAATGCGTGCAACCCTCGCACCTGAGCTGTTCGCCCCCCTCGTCGCCACCGAGGACGGCGCCTTCCCAGACGGCGCTGGCGCGAGGCGCCGCGCGGCACGCGGCGCGCCTCTCTGGGAGTCGCGGCGCCGGCAGGGCGCGCGGGGCGCGGAGGCGGGCGCCGCTGCCCCGGCGTTCTGCAGAAGGGCGGCGGGTGGCACCGCCGCGGGATCCCAGGGGCCGCTGCGGCCCTCTCGCGACGCCCGGCGCCTCGCCAGATGCACGCCCTGCGCGATCGAGCAGCGGGCCCGCCGGGTGCTCGCATATGCCCCGTCCGTCGAGGCCTTGGCTTGGCATCGTTCGGACGTGTGCATTTTTCCTCCGGCGAGGACAATCGAGGAGCATCCTTGATCATTTGGCGAAAAAGCCACGCACGAAACCGAATAACAATCCGGTGCCGTTTTGTTGGGGTGCAATTTGTACCTTCTCTGCGGGCTGCAAGTATAAATTGTACCTTCTCCCCCCGTTAACATCCTCGCACATGTCGCGGACGTTGTCAAAAGTACAATGTGTACCTTGTCTGCGTGGCATCGGTACAAATTGTACCTTCTCCGTGGGGCGTAGGTGCAATTTGTACCTCGGTTGCGCCTCTCTCCCCATCTGGACTTATCCCCCTATTTGCATCCCGCCAAAACTTGCTTGCCTCCACGGTGCCCTGGGCTTCCCGGGTTTCGGCTGTTTTTTGCGATGGGCCGCGCGGCGTTCCCACACCAAAGATCGACGGACGTCCTGGGGTCTCAGGGTCGGGCTTCTTGTGGGAGGTTTCACCCGAGCGCGTTCCACTACTCGCGCCTACTCGCAAGCGTCAGAAAAAGAATCACGTGTCTGTCTCAATGTAGTGGACCGTGAGTCCCCAGCGGCGGATCCAGGCCGCTTGCGAGTGGTTACTTTGCGAGTAGTGGAACGCGCTTGTCTATCGCATGCATTCGCAACAGAGCCGACACGATGGTATGGGAAGCTCCCGTGAGTTGCCACCGAAGAGTCGGTGCCGTGCGTGTTCACGGAATCCCCATTCCCACCAGGCCACGATATCTCGGCCCGCCATCCCAACAGCCCGGTTAGGGATAGGCCCCTCGAAGCCCGAAGGGAACAGCTTATATCCCCGATCTAGGGGGTCAAATCGGCCAGTGGGGCCCGGGTCACGCCAGTAGGGATCGGGATCGGGTAAGCGCTGCTCAACGAGGGTGGCTGGGGACAGACCGGGTAAACGCTGCTCAGAGAGGGTGGCCGCGGAGAGGGGACTGCGGATCGGAGGGAGGAGAAGCGATACCAACACCACCAGGGGGCCCACCGCCAGCGAGGAGGTCCACGATGCCTCTCCGAGCCGGAGGCTGGGGATGTCTCGAGCGCGAGGGGGGGACCACGCCATCAGGGAGTAGCCCCCTGCCTCCTCGCACCTCCTCGCCCTGTTGGTGTTGGCGTCGCCTCTCCTTGCTCCTGCGGACCGGGGACCGTGACGGTCTTCATGCAGGTGTGGCGGCCCAGGCTTCGGGTCGGAGTCGCTAGCGGCGGGAGGAGGAGGAGGAGGAGGAGGAGGAGGAGGAGGAGGAGGAGGGAGGAGGGGAGGAGGAGGAGGAGGGGAGGAGGAGGGAGGAGGAGGGGGAGGAGGAGGAGGAGGAGGACGGCTCGTGCCACGAGCGGCTGGGGACAGGGGCGCAGGGCGGCCCCGCCGGCCTCCAGGAGAGGAGGCCGCGGCGCTCCGCCGGTGGGCGGCGTGTGTAAAAGGGGTGCGCCGACACCCGTCCTCCTCCTCCTCCTCCTCCTCCTCCTCCTCCTCCTCCTCCTCCTCCTCCTCCTCCTCCCGTGGTTGTTCACGGCTCCCGTATTCCCGGCAGCCCACTGGGGGACAGAAGGCCAGCAGTGGGGGGCGTTGGAGAGCGTCTCGGAGGCCTCCCGGAGTCATTTGGGAGGTCTGGCGGGGCCGGTTTGGCAGTTTAGGAGCTTTCGAGGCCTTCTTGGGTCCCTCTTGTGGTCCGCGGGACCCGTGTTGGGTCCCCCCCGCGTGGGTCCCGAACATGTGTTTCTGGGGCCATTTCGCAGTTCCTCCTCCTGGATGAGTTCGACCGTTCGACTGACGCTCAGATGGAAGATACTTCAGTCAGGATATGAACTGCATTGTTCTTGGTTGCCGCCCTTGCGTGCGGAAGATGCGCTTCATCGTCGGCAAGTTGTGGACGACCATCCATACTGGCCAGCATGTCGTACGGCTTTCATTAGAGAAGTGGCTCAGCCAGCATGCCGTGGGGTGTGCTTGCTGGTGCCTGGGACAGTGGCGGTGCCCACAACACAACAGCGTGTACGTGTGTATGTGTATGTGTGTGTGTGCGTGTGCGTGTGCGTGTGCGTGTGCGTGTGCGTGTGCGTGTGTGTGTGTGTGTGTGTGTGCGTGTGTGTGCGTGTGTGTGTGTGTGTGTGTTTGCCAGCTCACTCGGGACGGAAGTCTTCCGTCTTTGAGTGGCCCCGGCTTTCTCCCCCCTCCGCAGCCGCCCCGTCTGTCCTCTTCCCCCTCCTGCATGCTGGACGATTCGCTTTTCGGTGCCCCCGTCTAGCTCCAGCGCTGGTGCAGCCATTCTGCCTCGCCGCCGACGGACAAGTGTGTGTGTGTATGTGTGTAACCCCAGGAAGCATTTAAGAACCCCCCCCCCCCTTCCGGCAAATCGATAACCCTTCCGCACCCTGGAAGCGTTACCTGGCACCAGGAGCCCTCCTCCTCCTCCTCCTCCTCCTCCTCCTCCTCCTCCTCCTCCTCCTCCTCCTCTATCATTGCATGAATTTTCCAAGCAGCAAGCGACATCCTGAGTCTTTCATGAGAGCCACGCAGATTTGAATTTCGAATTTCGATTGTAGCCCAGGGGCCAGGCCTCCGCGAATTTGTTGTGTGTCCGGGTGCTAAACCTATCGTGCGGTTATTTCGGCCCCTCGGAATATCGAATAAAAATGCGGTGCTAAGATATCGCCGGGGGGGTTCTTAAATGCTTCCTGGGGTTATGTGCGCGCATGTGTGCGATATCGCGGCTTACGGCGATGGCCTTCCCCGTCAGCCCATGCACCAGGATGCCACGGCTGGGGCTTGCCGCCGCGATCCCAACTTCGGAGCCCGCCCGCTGCTGTGGCCGCTCGCGCGGCCCGCGGCGATCCGTCGGCGACAGGAACATGACCACGAGACTATCTCCGCAACCGCCGCAGCGCACGGTGCAGTGGACATGCTTCGGGGGCAGGCTCGCGAGCGAGAGGCGTTTCACGCTGTGGTCCGGGCGGAGGCTCGCACGCCTTCGGGTGTGCTTGCGCGGCCCCCGATCGAGCCTCGGCGCGCCACGGTGCCGCGGCGTCGGAAGGGCAGGAACGATTGAGAAGCCTCCTCCCGAGAGGCTGGGAGGCTGGGCTAGCGTTTCTTAGCACACTTGCCGGCAAGCTGGCCCCGCTTGTGGAGCACGTTCGCCCTTCAGGCGTGATCAGCAGAGGTTGGCCCCGGTTTGTTTGGATAGGCCCGGATGTCTTACATGAACTACACGTTCGGCTGTAAGCACTTAGCGGCCCGCAGGTCATGCAAGGCATCATGCAGATCATGGGCATGCCCGACGAGTCCAAGGTCGGGCAGGGGAAGCCGGTCGGCGAGGCGCAGGTGATCGCCGTGCATGCCTTCATGCTGCAGGAGCTCGAGAATCAGCTGAAGGACCCGAGCCCTCCGTCAGAACATGTTCGCGCGGGGATGCCCTTTCGTGGTGGGGCTCTGGGTTGCGCAAAGACTCCCCCCAGATAGTCCCCGCTGGCATCAACAGGCCCTCCCGAGTAGCCCTGGGCGGTCACGATACCCTGGCGCCGCCTCCAGCGGCGGCCCTGTTGAGGTGTTGAGACCGCCCTGGACTACTCGGGGGGCCCGTTGAAGACAGCCGGGACTACCTTGGGGGGGCTTCTGTCGGGGGTGGATAGAACCCCCACCCTGACACGTCGACTAGTGAATTGTCCATTTTTGGTTCTCGAGAGGGCGCCGCGGCCGTCATTTTGCAGGCTTGCGCCCGCCAGGTTTGGGCCCGAGGTCGTTTTCACTAGACCACGTTTTACAAAAGGGGGTTCCGTCCATCCCCGATACCTGTGGGGCCGTCTGTGCGCGACCCGAAGCCTTTCTCCACTCCTTCTACGTCGGCTTCAGTTTCGAGGGGCGAAGGCGCGGGCAGGTCGCTCGGCATCGCTCGGACGTGTGCATCTTTCCTCGGTGGGGGCCATCGAGGAGCCTCTCGGACCATCGCGTGCGGAACATGAGCGCGCGACCTCGAAGATGCGCGGGGGGTGGACGTCCGAGCGATGGCGCAGGGGTCGAGGGCACGGAGCCCCTGCAGGCCCGCCGGGCCTGCCGGGAAAGATCGGGGCGTGCTCCGGAGACGCCGGCCAGGGGATCCCAACGGGGCTCGAGCCGAGCGGTGTGTCGGCGATTCTACAGGCTTACGCCACATCCGCCGACCCCTTGTATTCCTTGTTCGCTCAGGTATCGCTTCCTTCTTTCTCTCCCTTCCCCAGGGGCTCTTGGGGGGTCCTTGGTGCCTCTGTGGGGGTTTCTCGTGGACCGTTTACGTCTTGATTCCGTGTGTCGCAGCAGAGGCAGGACGAAGACGCAGCGAAGGAGAACGGCACCGGAAGGAGGACAAAGAACATTGTTTAGCTCGAGCCCTGATCCCCAGTGTCCAGCACTGGTCCGAAGTCGGCCGGTATTTCTGCAGGCGCTCCAAGTCCCAAGGGCCTCGAGGAGTGGTGACCGTGGACATGTGCCCATCCCTGCGGACGAACTGGTATCCTTGCCCTGCCCACCTCCCCCCGCGGGAACACGGGGCAGGACTCCAGAAGATGTCGATGTGCATCTCTCTGGGCGGTGCACCGTCGAAGATCAGGGAAGGAGGTAGATGAGGAAGGAGAGAAGTAAAACCACAACAGGAGGATGAGTAGGAGGAGGTGGGGGAGGAGGAGTAAGCGAGGGATCGGATGGACGATGAGGACGAGGGGGTGGAGGAGAGAGATGAGGAGGAGTTCGGTATCTAACAGAAGGATTTCTCGAAGATCGTCGGCCAGAAGGCTTGGGACATGAAGACAGTGGCGTTGGCCTCCCAGGCAATCGTCGCGGCCAAGGTGGAGCGGAAGTACGGCCTCACGTCGGAGGACATCGAGGGCGCGGTTATGCAGAACCGTCAGACCCTGGCCTCGAACGCCGAGTTCGCCGAGATAAACCAGAAGATGCAGGTCGCGATGAGCAAGCTGATGGGGGCTCCCGGGTGACGCAGCGGCCGGCCAGCCGCCTGCTCAACCGTTCCTGCTCCTGCAGAGGGGAGCAGGGATTGGCACGCCGAGGTGGGTACGGCAATATTCTGGCACGGTGCTCAGTGAAGCAGGGTCCCGCTCGACCCGATCGATCCGACTCGATATCGATTCTGGCCGGCCCGATCCGATTCGATTCCGAGATTCGGTGTGTCCCGATGCTTGCACGGCGTTGCTGTGCATCCGGGCGCAGCCGTTCCGACTCGATTTCGATTCGATGCCCATGCAGCCCGAGCCAATGCACATTTCGTTCCGATACGGTTTCCCGATTCGATGCTGACTGATCCTGAAGGAGGGCCAGTTGAGACAACGACAGCTGGATTTCGGGGAGGCACTCGTCGCCACGGCTAGGCGCGGCTCGGAAAATTGGTGCGGCTGGACCTCAGGAGGTGTTCGGGGGTCGATTAGGCGCCGCCGTTGTCTCAACTTGGCTTTTTCTATTTCGATCGATCCCGATTCCGATTCGATGCGACTTCTAATGCATACTTTGATCGTGGTTTCTCAGCGGAGGCCTTACCAGCCCGCCGATGCCCGCCGCGTTCCGCCGATGTCCGACTTCTCCCGACTTGGCCGCCGACGTCCGCCGAGATCCGCTTCGCTTCGACCGCCGATCCGCCTCGACCAGCTCCCCGACGCGCGGCCCCCCCGCCGTCGGAGGGGAGCGCGGGCTCGGGAGAGGGAGGCCTCCCGGCAGGCCCGCGCGGCCGCGCGCAATAGCCCTGCGCCGCGGCCCTTCACGCCTCGGGGTGGAGCCCGCGGGGCTTTGACGGGCGAAGAACGGTATAAAATATAAACTTTTTCGCTGTCGGGGGCGCCTGTCCCAGGGCGGCTGAGAGTTTAGACCCTTACGGTGGCACCGTAGGGGTGTAAACTTTCCAGCCGCCCAGGGACAGGCGCCCCCGACAGCGAAAAAGTTTATATTTTATACCGTTCTTCGCTCGCTGAGGGCCGGCCCGCGTCCGAGCGCCCGGACCTCTCCTCGCAGCGGCGCCCGCGGGGGGTCGGGCGGGGGCGTAACGCTCTGCAGGGGGGCGTCGGCGCAATGGCGGGGGGGCATATCGACCCCCCCTCCGGACTGCCCACCGCTCGCCGCGCGGGGCCCGGCCCGCCCGGCCCGCCCGGGAGCTGTGGGGGCCTCGCGGCCGTGGTCCTGGCGCCGGCTGCTGCTCGAGGCTTCCCTCCCCCCCCGTCGAGGCAGTGGCCCCCCTACGTGGCGTCGCTCGGACGTGTGGACCGCTCCCCCGGCGAGGACCACCGACGAGCAGGAAGTCGGGCACGTCCCTCTGCAGGAGGAAGGTTCAGAAATTGTCAAGAGATAGTCTGGGAACGATTTCTGTTTCCCTCAATGTTGTTGCATTTTCAGGGCATCTTTGATTTGTCCTTCAACCTCTGCCTGGAGGGGGTCATGCCCGACCTAATCCTGTCGCCGATTGCAACTCGATGCTTCCCCCCCCGAGCCAGTGCCCCCCTGCTTGGCATCGCTCGGACGCGTGCGTTTTTCGGGATCGTTTAACCAATCCCCATCCCCATCCCCATCCCCTTCGAGACCCCCGCCAAATTACCACCCCAGTTGGGGATGCACCCCTCGAAACCCGAAGGGAGCGACCTATATCCCCAACTAGGAGGGTACTGGGGCCCAGGCCACGCCGCTGGGAATGGGGATCGGCCCAACGGTACTTAGGTTTTTTCCGTGGCGAGGACCACCGACTAGCATCTTGGGTCATCTGGCAAGCACGAGGCTGAAGCATGCATAGGGAAATGGACGTCCGAACGACGGCGGGCCTGGGAAAAAAACACCCGGACCGGACCATTGGCGTTCACTAAAGGGCCTTGGGCGTTTACTAAACAGCCTTGCCTTGTTCGATTCCTTCTCTGGGCGCGTTTACTAAACGACTTCGCGTGTCGGGGTGTTTTTTGGGGGGGGGGGATTTTTTGATCTCTACTGAGCCAGTAACTTACCCCCCTCAGCCGTTGCCCCACAGAGGAGGTGTGTCGCTAGGGGTGTGGGCCTGGCCAAGGCTTCGGGCTGCGCACTGGCAGCCCCGCTGGCCTCCTCAGAGATCCGAGGCTCCAGAAAACGTAGAGCGGCCAGTTTTTGGCAATTTTCTGCCCCTGGG